CAACAAGGACTCAACTTTTCAACATGAAACATAAAATCTAAACTCTTTAGGTGTTGATTCTTTTCATTTTCCTGATACTGGGGATTGAACCAGGGCCTCTGCACTGAGCTACATCCCCAGCTCTTTTTCAAATTTTGAGTCAAGGTCTCACTAAGACACTGAATTGCCTGCGCTGGGCTCAAACTTGCAATCCCCCTGCTTCAGCCTCCCAGAGTGGTGGTATTATAGGTGTGTACCACCACACCCGGCTTGTTAGATTCTCTTTATCTGGCACACAATGGAACCTGGCAAACCTGCTCCTATCACAGCTAAGACATTAAACACTGGAACATTAGGATGTCAGTGCCAAGAAAAACTGCTCCAATGATACTAACGCCGCCAAGGCAAAGTGAAGCCAGGTGCTACTACCCAAGGATTCCTAATCAGTAATGGTACTTGACACTTGTTAAAACCATAATTTTATACCTCTAGGTAAGCACCGTAAGAAAAACAATTATGACTCTACATGCCCTTTAGGCACATAGATTCTCCAAAAAATGTAATTCTAAAAAATGTTGATTTTCCTATAAACTGAAATATAAAGAAAAAGTTATAGATAAGCAATGATTTTAATTAGATGTTTCTGGAACATGAAATTGAGAAGATGATTGATTTCTTTACATAAAATGTTTACTGTATGTTGACTATGTTCTAAAAGTAGAAATGTGTGAATAAATTTGACCTACTACATTAAAACTTTCAGAAGTAGTGATTCATGACAGCAATGATCAATAACAAAATCAATTACTCCTGGGCTAATTCACTGTTTTGCTATTTCATATAATCATCAAAAAGCTAAAATTTATAAAATTCATATTAAAGTCAACATAAATACAAAGGTTGCCAACTGGGAAATGTCTAGCACAAGAGCTACAATATCTTAGGGTGCTACAGTTTCTCTGCTTCAACATCCCTATTTTTCATAGATTTATTTTTTAAAAATAGCAAAGTTTACTCACTATCCTAATATTCCTATTTCCTTTCTCAGGTAATCTTGATCCCAAATGTTACATTAGAAAGACACATCTTGGGATCTCTTTTTTTTAGGGCTGAGGTTCAAACCCAGGATTTTGCACAGGCTAAAACAAACACTCTATGACTGAGCTACATCCTTAGCCCCCATCTTAGGATCTTTTTTAGAAGATATAAAGACCATATCTATAAGGTAAATGTTCATTTAAATGCATGGGAGCCAGGTGTGGTGGCACATGCCTATAATCCCAGCACTTGAGAGGCAGAGGTAGGAGGATTGCCTCGTTTGAGGCTAGCCTGGGCTGAACAGTGAGTTCAGGGCCAGACTGAACTACAAAGCGAGGCCCTGTCTCAAAAAAAAAAACATGAGGGAAAAAAAAAAAAGCATGGAAAACAGCCTTCTCCAAGAACAGAAAAGTCCCATTTCTAGGAGCCTAGAGAGAAATGTAAACGTCCAGGATTTCCAATCACAGACTGAATCTGGAATCACTAACAGCAACAGACCATAATTCTAAGTATGGTTTATATTTTCAATATTGCTTTCTATATGAAACAAAGACTTGTTAGCCTGACTACAACAGTAACTTTTTCTTTTTAAATAAAGACTTGAGGACTTCCCATCACTGGTTATCAGATCTTGGGTAGAGAAGGTGAAGTGTAATTCTACCTGAACTGAAGAAAATAGGAGAAACCCTCAAAAGAAGAATGAACCTCAACTAGACATTCTGAAAGAAGTAAATAAATCAGATTATGGGGGGGGGGGTTGGTACTGGGGATCGAACTCGGGTCCTTGCTCTTGGGCAGCAGGCGGTGAAACCACTGAGCTAAATCCCCAGCCCAGATTATGTTTTCTTTTTTAAAAGGAAAGAATGATAAAATATACTTAGTCTTTACCTTCTTTCTCATTTAAGAAACTATACTTTCCAATAGCTGTCTTGGCCTTCACAATCAGGGCTAAGGAGGGTACAATTACATCTTGTCTGGTCTTTCTACTTAACTAGACAGAACTGACTGCACTTGAAAGTAAGTGAATCATCTTCTGTAAGTAGTTGTGTTTTGTGGAAAAAGGAGAAGTAGTTTTGCTAAATATTATCCTCATTTGGAGTCAAACCATTGAACACAGGTTTAGTATCCTGGTCAATTGACCTTAAAATTTTTTACTAGCTTACAGTCAGTGAATTGTACTTTCTTCTTTCCTGTGAGCCATCTTCATGAACACAAAATGCAACTGCTACGTCCTAATTTCTTTTCTACCCGCTGCTTTCCTTTTGGGAAAAGAATGTTTAGAATATGGAAGATTCATTGCAACAGGGTTAAATTTGTAGAAATGCCTGCACAACTGCCAATGACAAGGCAAGGCAAAAGTGCTATTTTTCATCTTTGATGTGAACATTCTAAAGGAACTGTGTTATCGTATCAAGAGAGACATCAAAGAAACCCCAAGGGGCAGGCTGCTGGCTCTTCCTGGTCTATTTCATCACAAAATAATGAATATATGTACTAAAGTTAAACAAACCAACAAAGAAACCACTTCGCATTTTTCAGTGTGTCCACAACAAAAGTGGGCAGGAGACCCTCAAGAAGCTAAATGCTAATCCAGCCTCTGAGTTGTCTCAGTAAAATTATAAATCTTTTGATTCTTCAATTTAACTGTTTCTGTTTTGGTTTCACTGGGTTTCAGAGGAATTCTGGATATAATAACCATAAGACAACACAACATATTCATTAAATCTTCTAAATCAATGTTAAATAGCAAAACAATAGGGCTAATATTGGCTTGTGAATTTTCTTGCCATATTAAGTTTAAAGTTAATAAATAATGGTAAACCAAATTAAAATTAAAAAGAAACAAATGTTCTTATTTAAAAGTAGGTATATTGGAGTAGGGGGTCAGTAAAATAAGAGGGCTCAAGTCAGCCTCTATATAAAAAGTACTCTGACACTAGGGCAGCAATAGTCAGGTGGTAACTGGTCGAGACGGACTCCTACATTTTAAGGATGTTCTCTTCAGCAACGCAACAGCACTTTAACTGCCAAAGTTATTAAATCCATACAATTTCTTGGCATTAATCAAAAGTCTCCCTCTGGAGTACTATTTTCTGATATCTGAACTTTGTTTCAGGAGTTAAAATTTTTAGAAAAAACCCCATAAAAACCATAAGACAAAAATCTGTACTACTACTAGATCCCAAAGGCAGCCAAATACTTAACAGTTTATATTCTAAGAGACTACTAAAATGTATTGTAAAACTGCAATAATGTTGTATTCTTTTTGCTTAAAACAGTGATGTTAGGGCCAGGGATTTAGCTCAGTGGTTCTGCTGCCTGCCTCGAAAGTGCAAGGACCGAGATCCTATCTCAAAATACAAAAAAAAAAAAAAAAAAAAAGTAAAGAATTAAAACAGTGATGTTACAGTGAGAGCTAGTGTGAACATTTTCTATTGTAAAGATGAACTTACAGCTGTGCTTCTAATACTTATATATCATACAAAATCACATATGTACAAATATAGAACAGTGTGTGCACACACACACACAATGTAAACATGGAAGCAAAGTGAAGGGGAACACTAGGTTGGCTAAAGAGTATTTCCCTTAGGAGCATTTTCCTGGAATTGTACAACTGAGGAAAGTTCCATTCCGGGCACTCTGAAAGAACGGCACAAACACCTCCTACTCAGATGTCTAGACAATCTGGCCTAGTCTCTCAATCCAGAGGTCAACTAAAAATCTCAAGAATGCTTTGTAATTTTTTTTTTTTGAGACAGCGTCTCACTGTGTAACATAGGCTGGCCTCAATCTTGCCACAATCCTCCTGTCTTTGCCTCCCTAGTGCTGGGATTACAAGCATGTACCTCATGCCTGGCTTGCTTTCTAATTTTTAAACATTTTTTTTTGTTTAGTAATATAAAATAAGAGTTTTACTTCCTCCTACTATCAAAAGCTAAACTGGCCACAATCAGAAAAGATTTTAAGCTACAAAAAGCATGGTGACCCATGACTGTAATTCCAGCTACCTGAGAGGCTGAGGCAGGAGGATGGCAAGTTAGAGGTCAGCTCTGGAGACTTAGTGAGACCCTGTCTCAAAGTTAAAAAAAAAGGCTGGGGATGTAACTCAATGGTATGGCACCTGGGGGTTCAATCCTCAGGACTACAAAAAGAAGAAAAAAGAGACAAAAGGAAAAACAATATCTGGAGGGGAAAATGTGTAACATCCAATTTCTAATAAGAACATGATTGATTAAAAGCTCTAATATCTACTTGCATCTAAAGTAATTATTTATAAGAAATGAACTATTGTAGCTTTATTATAACATTCGTAAAATGATAAAGTTGTAAAGTTAAATTCAAAACACCAAATTTGAAAGAAGCTGTGATCTTTACTGTTTGATGTTTCCCCAGAACACTGACAATTTCCTGAGTTCTACAGCGCAAATGCAACAAAACCATACACCACTTCTGCCACAGAGACAAAAGCAATTACTCCAGCAAACGATAAAGTTAAAAACTGTGAAGTAACAAAATTAAGGATCTACATTTAAGCACAATTTTGAAGCTAAGAAGTGGCAGAAAAATTCTCACTTTTAAAGGAGAAAACAGTCCCTTTTAGTAATCTTCAAAGAACTAAGGAAAAGGAAGCTTTTGTGGCCTAGCTTTTGGAATTCAACCTGATATGATTATAAATAGACAAAAGGATGGAAATGAATAAAAATATAATTCAATAAAAATATGATTCAGATTAAAGACAGATGTCAGGCTGGGCCCACCCATTCAGGCCTAATTTATAGGTGTCAGATTCATTTTGATTTTGAAAAGGAGAAAACTGCAATTTAGATGGTGTACTGTTCATTCATGCATGTGAAGGCTCTTGTTAAGGCTAAACCAGTGCAACAAATTTTTCTGCCTAGGATTCAGTATCAACTAATCACCTGGACAGTTAGAAAAATTAAAGGGTAGGACATACATGTAGGCACACGTAGGATAGTTACCTTCAGCTGGTTATTGAAAATATCAATCTCCTGCAGTTTTGACCTAGTTTCCTTCTCCACCTCATCCAGTTGGTCTCGTAGCCGCTGCCGAGCTAGTTCTTTTGCTTCTAAGGCTCTTTTGAGTGTAAGAAGCGAATCTCCTATTTTAGAAAAACATTGTAAGATAGGAAAACTTACACTGGCAGCAAGGAAAATACTATTTAATGTTGTCGTGTCATTTAAGGAAATTGTTGCTGTTAAAAAACAGGGGGAAAAAAAGGGAAAAGTAGGGGCTGGAGGTGCAAAGTGTGCTTAGCATGCATGAGGCCCTGCGTTTGATCCCCAAAGAGAAAAAAGAAAGATAGGAAAGTTCAGCTTTAAAAACTAAACACTTACTGTGCAAGCTGTTCTGCTGAACTTGTTTTAACTGGTCATTGAGTACCTGCTTTTCTGGAATAAGTCTTCCAAGCATTTGCTGAGATTCCTACAAGGGAGGAATGACAGGAAACACTACTAAGTACACACTCAACATCAGACAGCATTTCAGTCAGTCTTTCTGTCCCTCAGAGACACTCCTAATCTCATCCCAAATCCTTCATGCTGAATACATTTAATCATTAGTCAGGGTGGCTTTTGTTTTCTTGTCAAGGAATTAACTTTTGGTCAAATGCTTTTCACTAAAATAAAGACAGTTATAATTCCTACGATGTTGCTTACAGTTTTGTTGACTTTCTGGATATTTATAAGGTTTTAAAAATGGCATTTCTTAAGTACAACCCTGCAGAGAAAAAAACTGATAATAATTTCTCAATTGCATGGGGATCAGGTACAAATGAAGTGACCCTGTTGCTTAGAAGATAGCTCAGTAGGAAGTATTCTATTATTTTAATCTGAGCTTTGATAATTAATATGGCAGAATTTAGCTTTACCATATACTTTATGGCAGAAACAGAAATCAAAAAGTGATTTGTTATACCTAGAGTCCTAGCTGCCATACATGCTTTTTCACCACACAGGATGAAATTGTAAACAGACACCCAAAAATCTTGAACTGGTGCAAGAAAAAGAGCAAAAACCACACACCGTACAAGGCTGTTTGGAGTTTTCATGGTTAAGCTGCCAGGCACAGTTAAGTCCACTGAAATTATGCTATGTAGTTTCTACATGACTCAGTAAAATGGCAGCCTTTCCAGGAAAAAATAAGGAATGTGTGACTTTTTTATTCTGAGAAAAAATGATCACTAAGGGGCTGGGGATGTAACACAGGGGTACAGTGCTTGCCTAGCATCCAAGAGGCCCTGGGTTCAACTTTCAGGACTGCAAAACAAGGAAGTAAGCGGAAAAAAAAAAAAAAAAGCTGAAAGATCTCCAAGTGCTGACTTTTGGTTTGAAAAAATAAAAATGCCTTACTTAAAAACAATCATCAGAGGCTCAGAACCAGTCTCCTCGAACACCCATCTTTAGATAGAGACCGGCTTTGTGTGGGATAAATCTTTGTGTATTCTAGGCCTTAATGGCAGAGAGGCTAGCTCAACAGAGAGGATTTAGAGGCCTCGTCTATGAATAATTCAACCGCCCCCCCCAACTCTCAAGAAACTTCAGAAAACAGAACACACAAATCAGATCATTTCCCAAAGAAGCACAGCCAAATGAATTCCTTTTCTCATTCTCCTCCTGAATTTCAGCAAGGGATCTTCCCGGATCCCAAAGTTTCTTTCCTGAACTGAGACAAATGAAGAAATAATAAGATGGAGCTTGGCTCAGGTCACTCTATTAAAACTTTACTTTAAAATGTATATATAGCCTAAGTTGCTAAAATAGGCTAAGCCAGTACTAAGGGCTCCCTGACTCATTTGTAAGTATCTGTTAATCCATGTAAGGAAAGAGAACCAAAATCTCATTGCCTGTTGTGTATCTCTCCTTCTTTAAACTATGTCTTATTTTTTACTTCACTACTTTCTCAAGAATCCTGATCTGTAATTATTACTAACAGTTGAACAGTCTATGCATCAGTCCTAAATAACAAATATGTATTTGTTTATACAACATTTGGCAATAATACTGGTATTCTGAACAATGACCTTTATTAAACCCTAAGTTTTCCATTGTTTTATTTTATGGTTTTTTTGTTTGTTTGTTTTGGTACCAGGGATTGAACTCAGGTCTTTGCACTTGCGCAGCAGGCAGCGAAACCACTGAGCTAAATCCCCGGCCCTCCATTGTTTTATTTTATGAAACTTCTCATCAACAGTTAATGAAACACATAAAAAAGGGTTATGATACAGACGAATTTATTTTAAAAATGTACATGCATTTAAAAAATATTTTAAAACAATTTCTGGCAATGAACTTCTGATACTAATTACTCTGTATGTTCATATTCCAAAATCTCAAACAGTCGTGAGAGCTTTCTCTGGACTTCCCAGTACATGTAACAACAAATGACTGAACTGAAAGCAGGAAACAGATGAATGCATAATGATGGTTTTCACATTTCTCTTTCAGTGATTGACAAAAGTAGTCACAAAATCAGTAAAGACAGAAGACTAAACTAGTTCTTACTATTCTATCAATCAAAGAAGAAACAGCAAGAAAACATTCTGAATAGAACATGAAAATACATGTTGGCATGGTGGCACACATTTGTAATCCCAGCACTTGGGAAGCTGAGGCAGCAGAATCTCCATGAATTTGAGGCCAACTGGGCTCATAGTGAGTTTAAGGCCAGTCTGAACTACAGTGTGAGACCCTGTCTCACAAAACCAAAAAAGAAAAATGAAACAAAAACAAAAAGCCAGGTGTGGTAGCACTAGTTTATAATCCCAGTTCTCTAGGAAGTTGAGGCTGAAGGATCGTAAGTTTGACCCCAGAGTGGGCAATGTAGGGATTTAGCAAGACACTGCCTCAAAGGTAAAAATTAAAAGGGCTGGAAATATAGCTCAGTACAAAAGCCCTAGGTTCCATCTCCAATTCCACAAAAAGGAAAACAAAAACCCCATGGAACATGGATATAGCAGTGCTGAGAAGGAAATTTATAACTCAAAACACTTATATCAGAAATGAAATGTTCACATTCCATCTCTAAGCTTCCTGCTTAAAAAGCTAGAAAAAAGAAAATTAAACCCCAAATAAGTAAATGGAAGGAAACAATAAATAAAGAAAAAAGCTTAAGTAGTTGAAATAGAAAACAGACATAGGGAAGAATGAATAAAGCCAAAGAACTTATTTTTAAATAAAAATCAATAAAAACAATAAACTTCCTGCTAGAATGATTAAGAAGCAGGGGGGATAGCAGGATGAGAAAAGAAGGGGAGAGGGGGACAGCAGGTGGCAGGAAAAGAGAGAGGCAATATAAATTACCAGTATCAGAAAGGAAAGGTGGAACTGCACTACAGATACGACAGCAGGCTTACAAAGAATAAAAGAATATTAAGAATAACGTTAAGTAAATAAATGATTTAGATAAATTGAATAAATTCATAGAAAGTTACAAATAAATTATCAAAATAGACCCAAGAAGAAATAAAACTTTGAATCCCTGTGCCTACTGAATTTATTTTATTTTATTTTTTTTTCTGGTACCAGGGATTGAACTAGAGACCTTGCACTTGTGAGGCAGGCATGGCACCACTGAGCTAAATCTCCAGCCCTTACTGAATTTATTTTACAATTAAAAATCCTATCATAATGAAATAGCCAAGCCCAGGGCTGGGAATTTAGCTCAGGGCCGGGGATTTAGCTCAGTGGTTCCGCCACCTGCCTTGAAAGCTCAAGGATCCAAGTTTGATCCCCGGTACCAAAAAAAAAAAAGAAATATCCAAGCCCAAAAGGCTTCTCTGATAAACATGACCAAAAATTTAAAGAAACACCATTTCAACACAAATATTTTTAAAATAGAGATGAAATATCCTCCAACTTATTTTTTGTTTGTTTTGGTTTTTTTTGGTACCGGGGATCAAACTCAGGTCCTTGCGCTTGCAAGGCAGGCAGCAGAACCACTGAGCTAAATCCCCAGCCCTCCAACTTATTTTTTGAGGCCAGTATTACCCTGATACCAAAACTAGAAAAGGATATTCACAAGAAAATTACAGACCAATATCCTTCATGAATTTAGTTTTGGGTGTTTTTGTTTTTTGTTTTTGTTATTTTGGTACCAGGGATCGAACTCGGGACCTTGCACTTGCAAGGCAGGTGCCGGAACCACTGAGCTAAATCCCAGCCTATCCTTCCTGAATTTAAATGAAAAGATCTTTCATAAATGGTAATCTGAACATAGTGAAATATTTTTATATAGGAATTCCCTGTACCTGACACAGGGCATCTACAGAAAACCAAGCTGCATAGGTAATGGTGAAAGAGCTTCCTTCTAAGATTCAGAACAAGCTTCTCAGCACTTCCACGCAGTATAGTACCAAAGGCCTAGTCAACGAAGTGAGATACACACACACACACACAAACACACAAAGGGAAGTATACAAAGTAGAAAATTAAAAAATAAAGATGTGGCATGTTCTGTACATTGGAACCATTAAGCTATACAAACTCTTTTATTTGAACTAAGAAATTAGTTAAATAACAACAGATACAAACCAATATATAGCGCTGGCCTAGCAAGCTCAAAGATGTGGGTTTGATCCCCAGTACTACAAAACAAACAAACAAACAAGTTCTAATGACCTAAGTGAAATGACAGATACGTTGTAAGACTCAATATTAAGATGTCAAACCTTCCCAAACTGATCTATACATTCAAATAAAATTTCAACAAAATTCCAAATATTTTTTTTAAAAAGCCCCCAATAAACTGATTATAAAGCTTACATGGAAATGAAACAGAAGAGCCAAAAATCAAATCTGAAAAAGACAAACAATAACAAAGAACTCACACAACTTGACCTCAAAGGTTATTCAAAAGCTACAGTTATCAAGAGTGAGGGGCTGGTAAAAGGACACTCACAGATCAAAAGAACAGAAGAGTCTGGAACAGACTTTTTACAAATATACTCAAATGATTTTTAGCAATGTGTACCACTGATGTGTCTTTTGGGTTAAACAAACATTTATGATATAACAATTCCATTCCAAAACAATTTACCCAAGAGAAATAAAATATTTTTCTTTTCAAGAAAGACTTGTATATACATAAGTGTCAACTGCAGTTTTATTTTTAAAATTCCCAAGCTGGAAAGAAACAGAGTATTAATCAACAAGTGAATGGGCCAATAAGGAAATACTACACAGTGATGAAAAGGAACATATTCACTTAGCAACACAGATAAATCTCAAAATATGCTCAGAAAAAGAAGCTCCACACAGAAAAGTCACTAAGTTCAAATATGATCTGCAGATAATATCTGTCTGAATTTGATGCCCCTGTAGTTCACTACTTGATAACAAATCAGGTGATATTACAACAGCTTTGGACAATCATATGAAGGCAGAACTGCAACAGCACTCCATGTCTCCAGCTACTATTTATCCAGAAATCTCTCCCATCCTCCCTAAAATTTTTCATTGTACTTATTTATGTAATTGTTATGGTAAAGGCAAAGGCCTTCGGTGATCTACGTGTCATTGGTGACCTGGTCTCCACCTGGCATCCCAGAAACCTGACACAGCCTCAGGACATTGGCACTGCTATTAGTCTGCATAGACCTTGTCCTGCCAGGTATCCACGTGACCCAAAGGGCTCAGCGGCTTAGCCCTTCATCACCTACATGTCTACTCAAAAGTCACCCTCACAAAGGCCTGTCCTGACGCCTTGATTAAAATCACAGCCGCTCCTACCCCTAGGACTCTGCCCCCTTTCCTGCTCACTCTGCACAGCACTTTCCATCTTCTCATAAATGTGTAACTTTATCATTCTGCCAGGACCTGTCCTTCCTCCAACTAGAGGTCCAGGCACACCAAGCTCACCCTGTCCTCTGCCTGTGATCGCTGCGGTGGCCCTGGTGCTGTGCATAACACACAGCAGTGCTCGGCAAAGAGTCGCTGTCTGTTTACTCCACAGTCTACATCTAAGCCAAGGACCCTTACCACTCTACCTCTACTTCTTCCCAGCACCCCATGCATGGCAGATTTGCTGAATTAATAAAGAAAATGAATTCGGGAAAAGCATGTAAGTCTAAAACCTTTCGTAGGACATTTTCTCACCTGTAATTGTTGCTGTAAGTGAGTGATTTCAGCAATTCTCAACTCTCTAGATTTGTTTGTACTCTCAATTTCTTGCCTTTGAGTGGCCAATCGACATCTGATATCTTGCAGTTTTCCTTCTAGTTGATGTTTTTTATCATTCTTTAACAAACAAAAGATAACAATTTACTACCACTTTTAGTAACTGATATATTCAATACATATGTATCAATAAACATATTCAACACATAAGGAACTTTACTCACTAGAGCTTCTAATTCAAATTCCAAAGTTTTTTTCTTTGCTTTCAGGACAACTATATCCTCCTGTTCTTTGTTTCTTTGATTTAGAAGTTCTTGCCTTCGATTCCGTTCCCATTCAAGCTGTCGTTGCCTTTCAAGCTCTCGTTTTGCAGCCTATGACATTTACAAAAGGCAGCTTATTAATTTTTTACTCTGATACTATACAATATCTCTCAACAAAAGTATCATCTACTGAGTCCTTTAGAGGGTGAGATTTGACATTACCAGAAATAACACAAAGCAATAAAAGTAAGGTGTTCTTTCTATGGGAAAAGGGAATATTCAGAACTATTATATTTACATAAGACAAGAACTGATAGGATCAGTTCACATTGGAACTTTACTCTTCAAGCCTTTAAGAATTCAAGACCTGCTAAATAAAATAAAATCTCCTAGAATAAAATCAAACAAAACTTGGCTTTCTCCCATTGCAAGAAAAATTATTATATACTGGATGAATATCCCACATCCAGAATGCTTAGGACTGGAAGGATTTCAAATTAGTTTTCCAGAAACCTAATATATAAAATGCAAAATAAAAGACAGAAAATAAGAAAAAAAGAGTGAGAAAACAGTTATTTTAACCCAGCACAGTCAACTTTCCTGAAGTAGACCTTGATTTAATATAATTGCCTTACATGATTTTTGGCCTGTTAAATCTGGCTGTTAATCTGTGTGTATGATAATTAACTTGATATAGATTTATAAAATAAATGAATGAACACGAAGCAGCCCCCAAAAACGGGGAAAAAAGTCAGGAGTGGGTGGGAAGGGACATGGAGATGTGTTCTACATGAACCAATTCTCTACCATGAATGTAATCATTATGTACTAACAAAAAAGTTTCCGTAGACTTTAATGGTTGAGAATCCCAAGTCTGTAAATCTAAGCTTGCTTTCTGGGTTTTCTTTTTTTTTTTGAGACAGGGTCTTACTATGTATTCTAGGCTGGTCTTGAACACACTGTAACCTTCCTGCCTCAGCCTGCCGAGTTCTGGGATTACAGATGTGTGTCACCATGTCTGGTGGCAAATGTGACCTTTCTGAGTGGAGTTTCAGACTGTGGAAGCTTCTGGATTTTCAGACTGAAGTACTCTGCCTGTGTCTCCGGTTGTAAGTCTGTGACTTCTGCCTCCCTAGTCACTGATTTCCTTTCTCTGGAAGTGACAGCTCTCCTCCCACACCCACTCTGCTGACAGCTCCTGGTGCTGCTGTGACAGCCTCTGACTCCGTAAGCTCCCAGCCATGCTGCAAAGCCCTGAAGGCCAAGTGGAGCCAGCGCCTAGTGAGGCCTAGTGATGGTGAATGGCTACTGAGTAATTCTGAATAAACGCAATGTCGCTTTTTTTAAACACTGAAGACAGGAAGGTGGCATTATAGCACTGGCTTGGTAATTAAAATCTTGGTGGGTGTTAGCGCGAATGCACACTTAGCACCCACGAGGCCCTGGGTTCAGTTTCTAGTAGCAAATAAATATAAAATCTTATTAGAAGCTATATGTATCTGCTTGAACAAAAGGCAGTTTGTGGCTCCATGCTTCCTGAAGCAATCATCAGGAAATGAAGCAAAAGCATTACTGTTTTATAAAGAAAAGTTTCTCATCTTTATATTTCATTCAATAAGAGAATCATGGTGCTGCTTCTGAAGCGATCCACCAAAACTGGGCAGACAGACAGGAGAATGGCTAGGGCCTGATCCAGCTCTGACACCAAATTTATGAAGCCGCCATAGAACATACTGAGGATTTTCCAGATATATTTTAAGCAAGTTAAAGAAAACAGTTTAGAACAATGTAATTGGTACGGTACCATCACAGTGGTTTTAAAAAAATAAACCCCAGCTTCTCCTACATATAAACATTTGTATTTTTATACGGGTTCATAAATACAGAAAAAATAATCTGGAAAGACACTTAACTAGTCTCAGTGGTTTATACCAAAACCTGGTAGGACAATGCTCATAACAGCGTAATTTATAATTACCCAAAAAACCAGAAACAGCCCAGTGGCTATCAACTTATGAATAGATAAATAAAATGTGGTATAACCATATAACACAGCCATAAAAAGGGATAAAGTACTAATTCATGCTACAATGTGGATGAACCTTGAAAACACCATGCTAGGTGGAAGCCAGACCCAAAAGGTCACACATTATATGATTCCAGTTAGAAGAAATTCCCAGAATAGGCAAACCTACAGAGATAAGAAAGTAAACTAGAGTTGCCAGGGGCTGAAAGAAGAGAAGAAAATGGGGAAGAGACAGTGGCAAACCTCTGAATATATTAACGGTCCTAAACTGCAAGAACAAACAAAAAAGACTGTTCTGTATTAAAAGGCATCTTGAATAAGTCTGAGAAAGAGAGAGAGAGATCTTACACACTGATTCTGGGGCTGCTGCACAGCCACTCACCTCTCGCCTCTCTATTTCTTTCCTCCTTTCTTCCTCTCTCTGCCGTTCGAGCTCCCGTTGCTTTTCCAGCTGCTTCTCCAGCTCCAGCTGTCGTTTGCGCTCTTGTTCCTGGCGCTCCCGCTCCTTCCTTTCCTGCTCAGCCCGCTCCAGCTGAGCCAAACGCTCTTGTTCTTTGCGCTGCTGCTCCAAGAGCGCTTGTCTCCGTTTCTCCAGCTCCAGATTGCCACGTTCGAAATTCTCCCTCTTCTTGTCTTCAAATGTCACTTTAAAATAAGGAACACATCAATTATGAAAAGTCATGATTTCTTTTTTTTTTTTTTGGTACCGGGGATCGAACTCGGGTCCTTGCGCTTGCACAGCAGGCAGTGAAACCACTGAGCTAAATCCCCGGCCCAAAAGTCATGATTTTTAACACATTACTTTCCAAGAAAAAACTCACTGGCATATGTGGAAATGTATAGTATCAACTCAAACCCAGAACTTCTTAGATTCCCTTGTCATTAAGTACCAAAACACACCTCTCCCCTAACCTTCCCACTACTGCCCATTCTGAACACTGCTTCTAAAAACACCATTTCCTAGTGGCTTTTTGTCATCCCCCAATCCCACTCTTCACTCTCCTTTCCCTTCCTCGCCATGCTTTGCTTCAGCAACTGACTGCCATCTCCTCTGCACCGTGGACAGTCGCCTCTCTCCGTCCTTCACACTAGCTTGGAACTGTGCCAGTGTGGCTTCTGTTCCCATAAGACGACTTCTCAAAGCAGAGGTAGAAGGTGAGCATTTGTACTTTACGCTGACCAACAAGCTGTGCCCTTATCATTACACAGATCCCAGTAAACACTTTTTTCTAATCCATGATTTGGCTTTTTTCTATGACACATCCACTATGGACTTCAGTTCTATCATTTTTTCTCTCATCCCTACTACTCACTTTGCTTTATATCCATTTTATTTTATTCAAATCTAAACATCCCCTCTTCCTGCCCCTTACTGTTCTCAGCAGTGTGTATTCAACTCAATGTCTGCCTCATGTGAGCAGCCTTGGAAATAATGCTGGTCGAGGGAGGCGCTCACTGCCCTCTGTGTCCACACCAACCCATTGCTCCAACTCTACTTCAGCAACCAGCACCTTTCCCTTTGCCTTGAGATCTGCAGCTATGAACTCCCTTCCATGGCTCCTCCCACACTAAAGTCAGGACTTCACTACTTCAGAAAGATGTCCCTAACATACTGTGGGCAGGGGCTTGTGGCCAAAGATGGCAAGTATGTCCTGGTTTTCTTATTCCTTTTGATCACACTTGGTGACATCAGAGGACGCTGCATCCTCTTCACTCTGCCACCTTGAATCTCAAAGTCCCTCTACCAGAAAGGAAAGAAATAATGACCAATGCTAAAATGGGAAGGAATCTCAAAAATATTGTACCAAGCGAAAGAAGCCAGACATAAAAGATCACAAATATGATTCCATTTATGTTAAAAACTCACAACAGGAAGTCCAAAGAAACAGAAAGTAGACTGGTAGTTGCCAGTTTTCTTTAGGAAGAAGATAGAGGTGTACCACTATCAGAGGACTAAATCACAGGGGTGGGCTGAATGTTTGTATTCCTCCCCAGCAAGTTATATGTTTAAACAGTGAACTGACCCAATGTGATGGTATTTAGACAGGTGTCTTAAGGAGGTAATTAGATTTAGATTAGGACATGAAGATGGGGCCATTATGATGAGATTAGTGGCCTTTAAAAAAGAAGAGAGAAATTTTTTCTCTGCGTGGAAGGATCAAGGAAAAGGGACTTGAGGACACAAAACAAACTGCTATCTGCAAGCCAAGAAGAGGGCCCTCCCTGAGATTTGAATTGCCTGGGACTTTGATCTTAGATTTGCAGCCTCCAGCACTATGAGAAATAAATTTCCACTGTCTTAACTACCCAATGTTTAATATTTTATTAAGGCAGACAAAGCTGACTAAAAGCTACTAAATTGTACATTTTAAAATGTTCACTTTTATATTATGCAAATTTCATTTCAATTTTAGAAACCCTGAAAGTCTCTTAACTCTATTTAACTCCTGTTATATGTAGAAAGCAAATAATGTGAATGCACAAACAAAAGACTGATAACATCACTTCCTGTTCAAAATCTTAAATGTCTATTAACATCAGAAAAACATAATTCCAAATTCTAAAAATTCCTGCCTTTATCTGCCATTGTGACTCCCCTTCCATTGTTACCATATCTTGAAACATTCCTCACTTCTACTTGTAGTGAGGATATTCACCTTCAAGTCTCCATTCACTTGTGGCCTATTCCACAGACTTAATTCCTCCAGTCTTTGCCTGTCTACACCAATTAAGCATCAGTAAGCTCTGCTGCACACCTATAAAGCTCTCCAGGAACTTGGCGCTTAGGCACTGCTTTAGTGAGCTGCACACAGCTGCCTTAAATCCTCTAATCAGCATAGTTTCTGGAGGACATAAACCACGTATTATTACCAGATTCTTCACTGTACTCAAAACACAGCCTTGCACGTGGAACATTTAAATGCGTGGAACATGACTGAGAAGTAACTTAACTTAGAGAATCACATGGGAAAGCTAGTGTCCTGAGCACAGCAATTAAACGCAGAGCATGTCAATCACAGGAAGGTAACACTGATAGAGCATTTAACACAAACAGACTTCAGAGTAATTTCAACTGCTTCTTAGTATCATCATTAATAATTCATAGCCACCTTAGCCTAATGTAATAGTATAATGGATTTACCATTGTAAACAAGGATTATTTAAAATAGGTCCACATTAAATTTAAAATAGATTCCTACTATTAAGAAATTTCCAGGCCGGGGATTTAGCTCAGTGGTTTTGCTATCTGCTGCGCAAGCACGAGGACCCAAGTTCAATCCCCAGTACCCCACCCCCAAAAAAAGTTTCCAATTCTCTTACAGTAACATGAGAAAATAACAGTAGACAGTTTTATGTTCTATCATAAGAAACCATCTCAGCAATTACCAATTTTTTAGTGTTCTATATTCCATACATAATATTTATGAATTTTGGTTTAGCAGTTTATAATCAGATTTCAAGTTGAAAGTTAGCATAGGGTGCATCAGCAGAGTACACAATGTTCTTATTTCTCTACACAGACCCAAATCCAAAAACACACGTCTCCCACATGTCTTTTTCTGACTATGGTCAGGTTAAAGAAAGAACAAAAATGTCAGACACTAAATTAGTTTTTACTTACATTTTTGCGATACATATTATGTCTAATAAGAAATAAGTCCAAAAAAAAAAAAAAGAAGTCCAACATAAAGGCTGCCTTACCAGGTAATTTCTTTTCTAATTGTTGCTGTTCATCCTCTAAAGCTGGCTCCTCTGGTAACCTCTGATCTACAGATGCTGAGCTGATGACAGATATCCCACTGCCAGACCGGACTCTTCTGTAATTGTGGAAAACAGAAACAGAGGCACATAAGGCTGTGCAGACAGAACTGGAAAATCTATGAAAAATAATTTTTAGATTGTTCCATATCATGGAGTAAATTTTGTTTACAACAAGGAAAAGATCAAGATTTGGTCTTTTCTACTTCCAAACAGTTTTTTTGTTTGTTTGTTTTTTGGTACCAGGACCTTGCGCTTGCAAAGCAGGCAGCAGAACCACTGAGCTAAATCCCTGGCCCTGCAAACAGTTTCTTTTTAAATGGAGATTTCAATGTCATCAGGTTCTGAGTACCAACTCTGTTCACACTGTTGGGGCTAAGAGTGTAACTCGGAAGTCTGGGTCTGATGCCCAGAGCCAACCACCAAAAAATCCCACCAAAACCAAAACACCACCCACATTAGCACAGCCCCAAAGGGCGACATGGGCTACGAATCCTGAAGTGGTGAGAACAATGCGTGGGGCACAGCAAGTACTCAGTAAGTGTTTGCTGCTCCTGTCATTACCTCATCCCCTGGGAAGGTCAGCAGTCGTGTAAACGGGAACAGGTCTGTTCCCTGTACAACTCTTATTTCATCACTTCTTAGACACCCCAGACTGTACAGTTCTAAAACAATCCACTTATCTTACTGATTACTATCACTTTAAATGGTCAACTTTGCTCTTCTTAAATTTTTCTTCTGGACAAGGTCTCACCAAGTTGTCCAGGCTGGCCTCAACGTGTAACCCTCCTCGCTCAGCCTCCCTAGTGCTGGGATTACAGGTGTGTGCCACTATACTCAGTAACCTTGCTCTTTTAACCCCCGATCCTTTTTATGTTTTGTTTTTTAAAAAACCACCTTTCAATGATAAATCTCTCTCACACTGACTTGTGCAGCCATGAGATTTTATAGGTAAACTGCCTCAGATACTTGTTATTTCTTTTGTAGTCTGTTTCCTCACCTTGCTTCTCTACCAGGTACATACCACATACTAATACTGATGGCTTTTTTCTCTTCATTTTAGAGGGATTTTGCCTCAGTCTTTGGTGAAGTTTGAGGACTCAGAACAGAAATTTATTTCCGTACTTCTCTCTTTTTTCTCTGTGCTCATATGACCTCATATTCATCTTTTACACTGAAAGCCAGGAGGAAGTGCTGTCCTGGACTGTGTGCATCCATGCACACATGACAGTGGAGGTGACAGTCATGGCTGACTTCCTGCAAGATCCCAGGGGCTTTCATGACATCGCCACTGAGCCTGACTTTCACACCAGGATAATTTTATTTAATCATCTTCCTGATTTATAATGTCTATAGTCCGGCATTTTTGTTGCCTCTTGAATATGCATAATTCACAGGTGTGAGCTCCTTGCTTTACTTCCTATGGACAGGCTCATTCAGTTTCTCCTTCACTGGGAGCATCTGTTCCTAAAATTTCTAGTGAGCTTTGATTACACAGATTGGTACAAAAATTAGTAATCTTTTGATATTTTACTTGATTGCTTTTATTGTATGGAATGCATAAGTACTTTAAAGAATGGAATGGGTCCATGCCATCACTTAGAACTTAGGAAGATTCTCCTGAATTCACGGATACTTGATGTACAAGCCAGAAATGGAAATCACACAAGACACAGTCAACAAAGTCACTTGGGATTCACATACCCAATACAGTTTCTTACAAGAGTCAAACATTCCTTACCTAAAGGAAGGTGGAATGTATTCTGGAGGCAGGACAGGTGGCAGTGGCTGGCCAGACATAGCAACATCAATTAGGTGCATAGCCAGGATAAATTCTTCTGCTGTGAGTTTTCCATCTTGATCAATGTCAGAAAGATTCCTAATTCAACAAAAAATTCATTGCAATCCAATTTCATGGAAATAAATGCTTATTATTTATGAATGATTTAAAAGTTCTGTCTTCTTATTCTGGTCCTAGGTCAAGTGAACCTCAATTTATAAAACTAGCACTATTTCACACTGTTCCAAGGATAAAATGAAATACTCCATATAGCTGGGACAGTGTTCAGCATTCAACAAATGCTAAGTCCTGGGGCCGGGGACTTAGCTCAGTGGTTTCGCTGCCTGCTGCGCAAGTGCAAGGACCCGAGTTCGATCCACAGTAGCAAAAAAAAAAACCCCAAAAAACCAAATGCTATGTCTGATTGTAATGATCTGCTTCTCGAACCTTGCAAGTGAGTTTAAAATACATCACACACACATTCTGTGCATCTCTTAACTGCTATGCTTTAGACGAGGGATCAACAAAGTATCAGTGAAGAGTCAAGCAGTAAATATTTCAGGGTTTGTAAGACATACAATCTCTGTCGTACTAATTCTGCCCTTGCAGCAGGAATGTACCCATAGACAACACACAAATGAAACAGCATGGCTGTTTTTATAATAAAACTTCATTTATAAAAGTATGTGCCAGCCAGATTTAGCCTACTGGATGGCTGGTCACCCCTAATGTAGGCAAATAAAGATAGATCTTTATGGGCTCCTCATTCTAGGGAGCCAATCTCTAGCATTCTTGATAATAAGCTTGCCCCACTAGCTAATTATAGGAAACAATTTTCCTAGCAAGGCCAAGAATGTGATTTCATTTAACAACTTCTAGACACCAAAAGAAGATGCAAGACAAACACATCTGTTTGCTAGAATGCCATCAGGACAAATTCCACATTAGGAAAATAGCTTTCCCAATGAGGAAAACTGAGAAAACTTGCTCTTTAATTTTGAAATTTCTTCAGATGCCACTTTTTGCTTTGTTTTGAAAGACAGGGTTTCACTGTCTAGTCCAGGCTGGCCCTGAACTCACTATATAGCCCAGGTTGGATCTTGAACTTGTGATCCTCTTGCCTCAGTATGATCCCAGCACTTGGGAGGCTGAGGCAGAAGAATCATTGCAGGTTTAAAGCCAGCCTGCACTGCATATCAAGCCCCTGTCTAAAAGAAAAAAAACAAAAGGTATAATTTCCACACAGTAACATTTATTTTTTAAAGAGTATAATTCTGTGAGCTCTGACAAACATGCTCAGTTGTGGAACTATCACTGCAATATGTAAAACTGAGCCAGTGTGACCCAAATGCCCACATCTCCTTTTAGTCAACCCCGTCTCCTCCCACTCCTAGGCCCTGGCTTCCTTGGTGTCTTTCCTGTCCCTCTAGTTTCACCTTTCCCAGATACGACCACACTCCTTTTAAAATGGCAGAACCACAAATGAAAAGCCCTGCCTGCTCACCCTTATTCTTCTTTCCTTTTTGTGCTTCACCACTGGCATCTCCCAGGTATCAGATTAGAAAGTAGTTGAAATTCTTGATTAACCCCCATGATTGCCTACATTGTGGCTATAAATATTTAATTAAAATATACTTTTGGTGGGCTGGGGATTTAGCTCAGTGGCACTGCACCTGCCTGGCAAGTGCAAGGTCCTGAGTTCAATTCCTAGCACCAGGAGAAAAAAATACACTTTTAGTGTGTAAAGGGAGACAATAACATTGTAGTAGACATCTTAAATGTCTCTTTCAGGAAACAAGTTATAAATGAGAAATTTTAAATAAGCACTTCAATATATTCAGGTTTCATGAGAACAACCCAAAAAACTATCAATCAATCTCTATAAATGTCACATCTTAAGTTTACATTTTAGAGGCCCCTAGAATCCTGGAGTATACCCAGACTGCAAGACGCTTGGGTGTGTCATAAACTGATGTTTCTTAGCTGGAATATTCTTCTGCATGAAAAAGGGGCAGAGGACAGGCAAGGGAAGTAGCACTAGGGCTCAGTCATTTGCGAAGTAACGCTCTCAGTGGCCCACATAAATGAAAGTCATGAACTGGGCACGAGGGCAGTGCAGACCAGTCCATTTTACAGGCAGAGTCTGTGACACATAACTAAGAGATGCACACTTAAAGAAGCATTCTGGTCAACATCTGAATGTAAGAAAGCCCACAGAATTTCAGCAATGCTCATCAATAGCTATTAAAAATTATTCAAAGTAGAGACATTATGTACCTCCTGATGAAAGTACACAGTAACACCTCTGATGGTATAGTCTTGCCAAAACAAACAAAAACATGCAAACTTGAATCTGCTCAGTGGTCCTCAACCAAGGATGATGTTGTACACTAAGGGGCACCTGTCAGAGCATGGAAGTGTTTTAGCTGTCATGGATGGGGGGTAGAGGTCTTGCTGCTGGCCTGCAGCACCTGGTAAGTTTGGACCAGAGATGCTACTAAACACCAACGATGAACAGGACATCCTCCACAATAAAGAACTACATAGCAGAAAATGTCACTACTGCTAAAGCTGAGGCACTTTATTCTAAGTTTGTTTTTGTTTTTGGTACCAGGGATCAAACTCAGGACCTTGAGCTTTCAAGACAAGCAGACAGGCGGTGGAAACACTGAGCTAAATCCCCGGCCCTGAGAAACTTTATTCTAAATCTAATTACCAACTTTCAGGAAATACAGGAGTAAATTAAATACCACCACAGGGATGCAATTGTGAAATTTAGGCTATTAAGGAACTACAGAACAAAAGATCTGGTTTGCTTTTGTGAGGGAGGGGGCTGTAGAATAAGTGGGGAATAAAAAGAGTTATAGATTACAGGAGACTTGAAAGATATATTAATTGGGCCAGGGATTTAGCTCAGTGGCATCGTGCCTGCCCGGCAAGCACAAGGTCTTGAGTTCAATCCCCAGTTCCACACACACACACAAAAAGATATATTAATCAAATATTGTAAAGCATGGATTTCAGCCCTGTTTTGAACAAATAAACTATAAAAACTTCTAGGTCAATCTAAGGAATTTAAGCACTATTAATTTAATAAGAATGATGGTTAAAAATTTCAGATGGACTACCAGTTTTACAGTTATGTTATCAAAAATTCCCATCTATTTTAAAAACAGAAGATAAAATATAGAGAGATGAAATGACATAACTGAGACTTGGCTTAAAATAACTGGAAAGGAGAAAAAGAGAACCAAGACCAGCCTGGGCTGAGAACTGTTAAGCTATGTTATAAGCTCCTGAGAATTCATTTTATTATTCTCCTGCTTTTGAATTTTTCCTAATTAATAGGGAAGAAGGTAAGAGCTGCAATCACAATTCAATGAAAAGTAAGCATGCTCCAAATATTCCCCCTGAAAAGTTACATTACTCTAAAAACCCAGGAGGCCATAGCAATCTAATAAAAGTTCTCACTTTATACATACAAAGGAACTTGTCATTTCTTACCATATTGAAGCCAGTTGAGCCTGTGGTAAACTTGATTGCATAAGAATAGTTCTTGCTTGGGGACCTAGACAGAAATCAGGGAAAACACACCAAGATGAGTCAGCAAATGTCCATGCACAGGAAGACAGGGCTGCTGCACACATGAACCTTGCAATCTCGTGCAATCACCATGTCTTACACAGCATTTACCCTAGGGTCTAAAGGGAAATAAACTGCCAATAAATGTGAAAAAACATAAACCACAGCCTCTGATTATACATACTCAATAAAATTTTCTTTTCTTTCAAGTGTTGGGGTTGAACCCAATGCTTCAAGAAGGCTAAGGAAGTGTTGTATCACTGAAAGGCTAGGCAAGGGTTCTGCCATATCCTCAGACCCTATTTTTTTATTTTTTGGTACTGGGGAATGAACTCGGGACCTTGCGCTTGCAAGACAGATGGCAGAACCACTGAGCTAAATCCCTGGTCCCAAACCCTTTTATTTTTAAAATTTATTTTGAGATGATGCCTCACTAAATTGCCCTGGCTGGCCTGGAACTTGCAATCCTCCCACCTCTGCCTCCTGAGTAGCTGGAATTATAGGTATGTGCCACCATGTTTAGCACTCACTTTTTGTTCAGTGATTAGTTTCAAATTATAACCTGCCCCTTGTCCAGAAAACCATCTCTACTTGTACTGGGCTTTTATTTACAAAGCAGACATGTTAAACATCCGTTTTCTTTTTTTTTGGTACTGGGGATTAAACTCCGGTCCTTGTGCTTGGGCAGCAGGCAGCAAAACCACTGAGCTAAATCCCCGGCCCCTTCACAAAGCAGAGAATCAAACTCTATAAAGTGAACATCATCTGCCCTTCCACCATGACCATCATCAGATACATGCAGGGAAGATGAAGAGAATCTTAGACCGGGAAGGAATCTTAGAGGGGTCTCTTGTAATCATTTCATTGGACAAACTTAAAAAAATGAAAAACAAGGTGAATTGTTCAAGGCTGCACAAAGAGCTAACATCAAAGCCAGAACTGGAACACATCTTCTATGAGGACAAAAAAAAACCCACCCTGGAATTTCAACTCTTTCAAAACCAGCTCTCCTTTCTTAAAATAACTACAAGTATCTTCAATTCCAGCTTGAAACTAGCTTTAGATATCAAACAAAAGCCAGACAGGAGCTCCGAGGGTTCGAATAAAGCAGCGTCAGGGAGAGACACGTGTGCCTCGTTTTCAGCACTGCCTCTCAAGGTGTGGTCCCAGGAAGACCCACAGACAAGAAGAGGAAAGCTGCGGCAACTAGGCTAGCAAGCGAGGCAGTTTCCTTCCTTATCTGGACCTGAGTTTTTCCCTTTGGCACTCTTCCCTGACTAACCAATCTATGATCCATTAGGTCAGGAGCCACAACACTGAGATCCATAGTGTCTGATAAATGATAGTTAAAACTTATTACTAATGACAGTACTTTAACTTTTGTTTTTATATAAAATATTAGAAGAAAAGCAAAAACACACATACAAGCACATGTGGTGTAATCAGGATAACAGTGCCCAGATCACAAAACAGAATGCAACAACAGGCAGGAGTCTCTCTTCATCTCCTTCTGAAGTCACTCTCACCAACTGCAGCCAGACTTCTTAGCACAAATGTCCTCTGTGGGCCTGGCTTATTTTCCTCACAATATTGTTGTGTGCAGTCGCAGAACATAAATCTCACTGTTATATAGTGCACCACTGTGTGACTGTATCATAATTTATTTTCCATTCTACTCTCTTGGGCATTCAGGTAGTTTTCAATCTGGGCCTCCTATGAACAGTGACCGTTCTATCTTGGTGAAAATACAGATTTCTGTTTTTGTGAGTGTACACTGGGAGTAAATGACCTTTTCTGAATTAAGGCAAAGATTTTAAGTGTTCTTTGGTATATTGGAATGTAGAAAGTACTAAGAAAAGTACTAAGAAAATACTTAGAATGTTGGTAGCATTAAAGTAGAATTAGCAAAATTTTAGTGAATGCTTTAATTTATACTTGTAAAAGTTCTCCCCACTCTAGAATTGTATAAAAGCTAATTTTTTATCCACTTCAAGTTAAAAGGTTAACAGTAAATGTGCAGAATTACCTTGAACACCATCCCTGGACATGAGGAGACCTGGATTCCAGTCCTGACTACCTAATGACAAGATGGCATTAACAAAACTACCAAAGTTCTCGAAAATAAAGTTCCTTTATCTCCGAAAAGACAGAGAAGAATAGAATGGGGAGTTGACAAACTATGCCCATAAGCACTGGTCCACCACCTGTTTTTCTAAGTAAATTTTTATTGAAACCTAGTCAGACTCATTCATTTATGTGTGAAAAATGGCTTCTTTTGTGCTAAAATGGCAGCTGTAACACAGAACAGATGGCCTATATGCCTAAAGTATTTGCTATCTTGCTCCTTAGAGAAAAAGTTTTCTAATTCTTGTGCTGGAAGACACTAAATCTCTCTTTTTTTCTGAGACAGGATCTTACTATACAGTTCAGGCTGTCCTTGAACTCACTATGTAGCCCAGGCTGGCCTTGCAACCCCAGCAATCCTCCTGCCTCAGCCTCCTGATTGCTAGGATTACAGGTATGCACCATCTTGCCCAGCTCTAAATGTCTCTTGCAATTATAATACTTGATCCTGTCAAAAAACAATGTTGTGAACATTAAAATATACCAGCAAGAAATAAGACAGCATTTTAGCATAAGAAAATAGCATAAAACTGAGCTGAGTAGACAGAATTCTCCTGAGGAAACCCATGCACATAATGGACAGCAGTTTTAGAGTACTGGCTAATAAGGAACCTGATGGCAATAAACAGAAATTTCACATTCACAAACTGAACTATGGACATTCACGGTTAGGGAGGGAAGTATGAATGGATAAAAAGACAATTTATTTCAAATAATGACTAAAACTTCACCTTTCCTGATTAATAATGAAGGATCAAATGGCATATCCAGTTTCAAAATGTAACAAGATAAAAAAAAGACCTCTTTGAGAAGAAGGGATGGGATTAATGGGATCATGAGAATTCTGCAGCACTTATATAACCTTAATTAGAAGGTCTTTCTCTATCTCTTAAGGCTCTTGACATTTTTATAAGCATGCAATAGCATACATATCAAACTGTGAGAGAACAAAGGGTGTGTGTCTAGTTAGGTACATCGGCTTAATCAACCACATGATGCATGGGGTAAGTAACACCGCTGCTAGATCAGCTTCCATGCCCAAAGTGGGCCCGTTCATATCACAAGATCAGAAGTTCCTATTTTCTTGTGCTGTGACACACCAATTACATTCTTATGCTCACAATATGTTTTTACACATAACAGTCAGAATTTCATGGCATCCAGAAGAAATATGTGAAAATAAAACACAATAGCAATCAGGAATCCTTTTAAGAACAACTGGTATGCCAGGGATGGTGGTTGATGCCGACAGTCCTAGCACTTGGAAAGTGAATTTTTTTTTCATTACTGGAGATTGAACCCAGAACCTTGCATAAGCTCTACCACTGAGCTACTTCTCCAGTCCTAGTCCCAGCACTTGGGAGGCTGAGGTGGTACAATCACTTGAGTCTAGGAACTCTAGACCAATCTAGGCAACACAGTAAGATTCCATCTCAAAAATAAACAAAAACAGGAAAAGAGTGAGTAGTACATTAACCATGAGCATTTGCTACAGGCTTTAGCACAGATAAGCAAGGCTGCAGGTTATATGCAATTTTTGGAGGGCTGATAATGAAAGCACACATAAATACAAGGGAGTACAAGTGATAGCATTGGGATAACCAGAATTCTCCTTTAATTTATAGTAAAACAAATTATTTACAATGCCTGTATTTTAACTGGTATTTATAACATTATGTCACAGCTTCTAGGCTGAGAACTACTGAACTAGATTAAGACATTATATATATTTGTAAAGTGCTTTTTAGTTCCTTTAAAATAAGTACCCACAAAAGATAAAACCAAGAACTGAGATTAGAATATTAAATTATATGTTTCTCTTGGGTCTCTTCATATACTTAGACCTTTGCTCAACTTTTTTTTTTTTTTTTTTTGGCAGTACTGGGGATTGAATCTAGCAAGCACTGAGCTACATCCCCAGCCCTTATCTTACTTTTGAGACAGGATCTTGATTTAACGTCCCGACTGGCCTTAAATTTGCTATCCTGCTTGCCTCAGCCTCTCAAGTGGCTGGGATTACAAGCATGTGCCACCAGGCACAGCTTGCTCAATTTTCTGGATATCCCTGTTATCCTTCAGGTGAATGAACTGCTTTTGGGATTCTGAGTTTACATAATTATCTTCATACTGTTATCAACACATCAATCTATTTCACATATCTCAACAAATTAGCTCTGCTTCCATGAGGAGCTTACAACACACTCTGTGCATAGGATCTTCATAAGTACATAAAAGGAAAATAAACTAAACTTATAATATTTAATGCCATTTTAAAACTTACTGTAATAAACTGAAAGGTCTATAACAAGGGTGTGGTTAGAAAATAAAATTTGTACCTTAAATTCTTGCTGGAACAAAGTACTAATAAGCATGCAGATAAACAGGTCCAATATCTGTTTTCTTTCCGATATATATTTTTTCTTCCTATTTTCTTGGGGAGAGGGTACATTGGGGATTGAACCCAGGGCCTTTGCAATGAGCTACATATGCAGCCTTTTGACTTTTTTTTTTTTTAAAGACAAAATCTTACTAAGTTGCCAGGACTGGGCTTGAAATTTCAATCCTCCTGCCTGGATTCACTTCTCATCCAATTCAATTTCAGATCAGAATTGTAGAATGAATTAAGTTTGCGAACCACAGTACCACTGTATTCTAAATCTTATTTTCTGCTTAAGATATTTAAAAGTTCTAAATATTCAAGGGCCTGTGTCATTACCTTTAGGATATAGATACTATATTTTATACATATTTCATACTGTGTATCGTAAAAGACATATCCTATTAAGAAAGAGAATTACTAAATCAAAGTCATTTGAATACTGTTTTAAGAAAACAACAGCAGTGTGTTGAAGATTTGATGGTGATGTAGTCCCGGGTGTGTAAGGAATACTGGCATCAAACACACTGTGATACAGGACTTAGAAAACTGTACTACTGAATATCCCTTTAGTGTCTGCACAGGCAAGGTTGGATATAGAAATGACAGCTGCCACTTCAGCAGGAGTGAGTGTGGCATACAGAGAATCTGTGTGTGTGTACTGTTTGCCCCTGTAGATAAGCATATTGGAGGTGTATGGTGGGAACCTTTGAGGCAAGGTTTCAAGGTCAGATCAGAACACTTTAAAGTGTCATCCAACCCTTCTACTTCCAAATACTGATGCATTTTTCATTTGGAAGTAAAATTTACAACTGTAAATTGTCACAAAAAATGGAAGGAAGAACCAGGACTTAAGAATATTTTGTTACTGCTGGGTAATGGTGGTGCACACCTGTGATACCAGCACTTGGAAGGCTGAGGCAGGAGGACTGCCACGTCTGAGGACAGCCTGGGGCTACACAGTGAGTCCAAGGCCATCCAGCCATAGCAAGACCCTGTCTCAAAAGACCAAAAAAAACAGGTTTTTGTTGCATACATTACTGACTTTACCCCAGGAAAACTAATTGATTCTCTTTTCCTTTCATATTTTTGGGGGGATTGTTATAGCTTCTTCCTTTTACAGCCAGTGTTCATAACAGAGTCTCGATTTTCCTTCATTAAATATGTCTTTCTTTATAACATTCAAATTCATTAGTTTTTAAGCACAACCCTTCATTAAAAACATTTTATATAGTATCCTAAAATTCTTCTCTACTTTTCAATGTGGATAATAGGGTCATTATATTTTTAAAGATCCACTGAGATAGCGTAACTTCACTCTGGCCTTTTATGGATGAGGAAACAGATCCAGAGAGGCAAGCTCCAGTGAGGCGGTAGTGGAGTGTTTCTAGCCGGTTACCTTTCACCTGCACCAGCATCAAACTCTGACCTGCCTGGCGCCAGGCTCAGGTCACTCCACAGCTGGACTTCAAACTGAACCAGTCTGGCTCACAGAGTGGTTTCCTCGCCAGTGCCCTGACTTGCCTATCAGTATGTTCAGCATGCAGGAGGATCCCCCGGCTATGGTCCACCTCACCGAGAAGCAATAGGGCAAAGGACTCAGGAGGAAGAATAAAGTCATCAGCAGTTGGGAACGCAAGATAACAAAGACAATGAAAACTTTTAGATATAAGCAAATAAAGAAAGATGTCCGGAAACTGACCCATTATCTAGAAATAATTTGCATTTAGAGCAAGGCGTTTTATTTGCAAATACCTGTTAAGTGTCCACTCATAGTTTTGTCATGACTATTGAATAACTGCCTGTATTTCAGTCTTGAGGACTGAGGCACAGCCCATTCTGCTGCTGGAGGGACACTGTGGGGAAAAGAAGAGGGAAAGAAAGATTATTAAGTATAAGGAGTAGCCTATTAAAGTTCTTTGCAAAAGTAACTAAGAAGGTGGGCATGGTGGCGTGTGTCTGTAATCCCAGCACTCAGGAGGCTGAGCCAGGAAGATGGCTCTGAAGTTTGAAGCCACCCTAGGCTACATCCATGCAGCATGAGTTCAAGGCCAGCCTGAACTACATAGTGAGACCCTTATAAAAGAGAAAAAAAAGTAAAAGTAAACGAAACTAAGAACTTCTTTGAATATCTAACTTTAACAATATTTCCTTTTTATTCCCCAATGCTGGGGACTGAACTCTTGTGTTCTAGCTAGCACTTCACCACCAAGCAACAGTCCTAGCCCTTCCAATTTTTAAAGTTATACACATTTCTCTCAAAATTAATAAGCTCATTATTTTTCTAGAAACTAGGCAAACATAATAGACCAAAGTGACTGTTGTACATTACATATACAACTTAATCATATAATTTCTAATAAAGTATGGAAAATCTCCTCAGCACTGAAGCAATATAATAAACACCACATCCTTCTAAGCATCTGAATACTTCTCCTTGGGCTGAAAAGTAATGCTGACAAACTGGGTCTGGTGGCTCACATGTGTAATCTCAGCACCTGGGAGGCTGAGGCAGGAGGATCAAGAGTTTAAGGCCAGCCTGGACTATAGCAAGACCTTGTTCTCAAAAAACAACAAAAAAGCAATGATGACAAATAAGTGCCTCTAATGGAATTACTTTTCCAAAATGGGTACCATTTGTTAATGAAATGAAATTATTTCATTCTGGGAAGTTTAAATTAACACAAAGCAGAGTTTCCTAGAGAGAAGAAAACTTTGCTAGGGCCATGGAAAATCAGCAGAGCAATCATGAGCAGAGCTCCGGTCTCCTAATGCAGTCCAGCCTGGCCATCTCCTTGCCCCATGCCAGAGCCCTAACCAGAGCAAACCCTCCTAGCAGTCAGTCTGGGTTGAGAATCCCTGGCGACTCATTCTTCACACTATGTGATATGCATATGGTTTATTAAGAGACCAACATCTAAATCAAGTCATTTAAACACACTGGTTGACCGAGAGTAAAACACGGCATTATATTTCCAGGACAGATTACAACTAAGGAGCCAAAGCCTTTCACTACAATAAAAATATCTGTCTCACATGTAAAAGCAAAATTTTAACCAAGCAATCAATCAATCTCTAAGTCATCATTTATAAGTGTTATCTATGTACTTACACTTACAGTATATTGTTCATAAAGCACAGGAAACAGTTCTCTCTAACACATGAAGAATACCTAAAAAATACCTTTTTCTATTTTTATTAATTTCTTAATAAAAAAACTTACCACGATCTATTCTGCTGTGAGTGCCACTGCAACAACTCTCTCATTTTAACTAATATTTTGCTGTTTCCAATTCCTGCCTATTTGTCAAGAAGCTAACTAACTTGCTTCTGCACCCCAAAGATAGAGGGTGCTACACACAGAAGGGATCCCAGATTATACTTATCAAGTCACGGTTCTCTGCCAATTCCTGAAAATTTAAATAGACTAAAAATTCACTAATGTTACCCGAAAGTTAGCTACTATATTGAAAAAGCTGATTGAAATTTAAATTACTGAAAAAATGGATATGAGGGGGCCAGCACAGTGCCTACCGGGCAAGTGTGTGGTCCTGAGTTCGATTCCCAGTAGTAACAACAACAAAAATATGACTATGAAATTTAAAAACAAACCTACAGTAATCTTTGTAGCATTAATATTTGCCATAATGAATGACATCCATTCTAATGTCAGAAATCAATTTTAAGGTACAAGAAAAAGCTGGAATCATCCTCATTTACATTCCCCTTCATTCCAAAAGCTGTTAAGACTACTTACAAGGAGTCTGGATTTGGCAATTTAGTGTAGCAATATGCAAGGGAACAAACAAAAAGCAAAAGAAAATAAAGTATGAAAGATAAATTTCAGTAATAAGGTCATATCAGTCTTTCGAAAGCTGAGCCACATATTTGATTAATGTGAACTGTCCATTAATCTGAGTAATTCACTTCAGAAAAATTGCTCAATAGTCTTACTAATAAGCTACACAGACTCCATGAGATTATGAGACAAATTAAAAATAAGGCCAATTATGCCTCCAATCAAGATATAATAAATTTACATATAAACTTTTAAATGGTTAACACAAAATAGTTCATTTGCTTTCCCTTCACCTAGAATTCTATTTTAAAACTACTCTTGAGGATTGTGTTGAGGGATTGAACTCAGGGTCTTATGTATACGAGGGAAGCACTCTACTTCAGAGCTATATCCCCAGTGACCACAACTACTTTTTTGTTATTTTCTTTTAAAAATGCACAAAATTAAGGAAATTGTATGTTTTTTATTTTGGTTATCTTTGCATTATCCAGAGTTTGAAAAATTATTAGCATTCTACAAAATTAAGTAAGATAAAAAATTAAGGAGATATATATAAAACAAATAT